TAAAAAACATTAACAATTTTAACATTAAAAACACAAACCTATAGCCGATGGTTACGACCACTACATCCCCTTTAGTGGCCAATACATGTCCGCTATAGTAGTCCTCCACCGGTGAGCCTACTATGAGAGCCCCTCCATGTATCCAAACCATAACAGCTTTAGGCTGATTCCTGTCCATGGCTTCAACACTGATACCTAATGTGTTTTAATGTAACTTTAAGTTATAATTTTTAAACTAATTTAACTAGTTATTTAGTTTAATTAATTTTTGTAATAAATTAAAATTCTTAGATTAAAATCAAAACTTATAATTTCTAAAAATCATTATAATTAAAACGTTTATACTTATTTAAAGTTAGCCACATATTGATATTTTTTATTTTTTATTTTAAAATATCAACAATTAAGTTAGGCAATGTGTAATGTGAATTATTAAAAATACTATTTTATCAATTTTTAAACAAGGTTATTTAAGTATATTTAAGTATAGGTTATACGTTGATACTATTTGCGCTTAAATGGAATTTAATCTTATATCTTAATAAAAAATAAATTGAACCGGATTATTTAATAATTATACAGAATGATAGACAGAGATAATTATACGTAAACAATAGTTACCAGTTATAATTCAAAACTAATTATCATTTACTGCATTAGACCTTTATTGATACAACATTTTCGTATTATTAAGCAATTTACTTGATAACTTTTACTATCTTATTTTAATATTATATTTACAAACAAATACATTTAGTAAATTGTTATATAATAATCCTTATCAGTAGCACCTGTATGTCTCACAGTCAGTGGTGGTCTACTAATGTGCTAATGTTACCGAGGGAAATTGTACAGTATTACTTTTATTTTATATAAATACTCCAATTCTCATCAATATTTGCTCAACAATTATGTCGACTATAAGATACATAATTATATTGCTGGCAATATGTTTGCTGGGTGTGTATGCCGATCCCGGTGCCCAACGGTATGAGCCCACTTGGGACTCGTTGGATAAACGGGTCACACCCACGTGGTATGATGAGGCTAAGCTAGGTATTTTTATACATTGGGGCCTATTTTCCGTGCCCTCCTTTGATAACGAGTGGTTTTGGTATGTATTTCAATTCAATTATTATTTTAAAAAATAAAAATATTTAAATTAATAGTAGTTGTTAAAAACGGGGATGCCATAATGTACAAAATTACTTAAATACAGATGTGTTAAATACATAAAAATCTTGGCGATAAACAAGCATAAAGTTTTTAATAATCCAGTTCAATTGGAATGCCATGGATATTATATCTAAAAAGGATTTTTATCGGTATTTTTAAAAATTAAATTTTAATTTTAACTTTATGGTCTAATCCATCCAATATTATTGAATTTTATTTTCATAATAATTTCTCAAATAACTATGAATAGATGTACAGTCTCAAATAATTAATTCATAAGTTATGAATCATAACAAACAGTTAACACAAAAATAAATAAATAAAAATATTCATTTAACTAATTAGAATTTTATAAATTATAATACATTGTAGTAAATTTTTACAAGTATTAATTTAAAATCTAAAATATATTAAACCCAAAAGGGATTTTCTGGGTAAGTTTTATTAAAAATATATTAATTTTAAAAACAAAAGTATTTAACATTTATAACATTAACTAACTAAAATAAATAAACTGTAAAAATAATTAATTTGATATAAATATGGAAGTTTAATCTTATCAATTATAATAAATAATTATTTTTTAAATACCCAAGTGAGTTTAGAGTTTTAATATAAAATAATAATAATAAATACAATTGTTTAGTCTCCTAAACCTGTATAAAAAATTTTACTTTTTAAGCTAGTTATTAAAATAAGAATATTTTATTGAACAGTTTGAAAAAGTTTTTAATATAATGAGTTGTAACTTTAAATTATAATTTTAAAACTAATTTAACTAGTTATTTAGTTTAATTAATTTTTATAATAAATTAAAATTCTTAGATTAAAATCAAAACTTATAATTTTTAAAAATCATTATAATTAAAACGTTTATATTTATTATTTATTTAAAGTTAGTCACATATGATATTTTTCATTTTATATTTTAAATAAGTTAGGCAATGTGAAATGTGAATTACTAAAAATACTATTTTATCAATTTTTAAACAAGGTTATTTAAGTATAGGTTATACGTTGATACTATTTGCGCTTAAATGGAATTTAATCTTATATCTTAATAAAAAATAAATTGAACCGGAATATTTAATAATTATATAGAATGATAGACAGAGATAATTATACAGAAACAATAATAACCAGTTTAAATTATAATTAAAAACTAATTATCATTTACTGCACTAGACCTTTATGATAATTAATACAACATTTTAGTATTATTGAATAATTTACTTGATAACTTTAACTATCTGATATCAATATTAAATTTAAAAACAAATACATTTAGTAAAATGTTATATAATAATCCTTATCACTAGCACCTGTATGTCTCACAGTCAGTGGTGGTCTAGTAATGTTACCGAGGACAATGGTATAGCTTTTTATATAAATACTCCAATTCTCTTCACTATTTACTCAACAATTATGTCGACTATAAGATACATAATTATATGGCTGGCAATAAGTTTGCTGGGTGTGTATGCCGATCCCGGTGCCCAACGGTATGAGCCCACTTGGGACTCGTTGGATAAACGGGTCACACCCACGTGGTATGATGAGGCTAAGCTAGGTATTTTTATACATTGGGGCCTATTTTCCGTGCCCTCCTTTGATAACGAGTGGTTTTGGTATGTATTTCAATAAATAATTATATTTTTTTTTATTATGATAATTATTTAAACTTGTTTTATATTATCCAGGTGGAATTGGGCGCATAATGATACGAAATACATTAACTTTATGGCCAAAAACTATAGGCCCGGGTTCACGTACGGCGACTTTGCCAACCAGTTTACCGCCGAGTGGTATGACCCGGATAAGTGGGCCGAGATATTCAAGTAAATTACATTATTATGTTGAAAATGTTTTAATTTTTTAATTATATTTATTTTGTTTAGAGCATCGGGTGCTAAGTATATAGCGTTAACCAGCAAACACCACGAGGGGTATACACTATGGCCATCGACCACCTCGTTCAATTGGAATGCCATGGATGTCGGACCTAAAAGGGACTTGCTTGGTAAGTTAAAAATTTAAATTTAAAATATCGGTGTTATAGCCATTTATATTGAATTTTATTCCCATAATAATCTGCTAAATAATTTTTAATTAATGTACAGTCTCAAATAATTAATTTATAAAGCACAATTAACACAAAACAATTAACTCACACTATTCATAAAATAATAAATATATTACACAAAGTATATTTTGGCAAGTGTTAATTTTAAATCTAAAATATATTAATCAAGAACATATTTCAAATGAATTTATTAAATTAAAACAGAAATATTAATTATAGCTATTTTACATGCAAACAATTTTCCAGGTGACCTGGCGGTGGCTGTCCGTAAACAGGGTATTAAATTTGGTGCCTACCATTCCCTTATGGACTGGTATCACCCACTATTTCTGAGCGATGAGAAAAGTGGCTGGAAAGACACCGATTTTGTCAAAGTATAGCTTTTGATTAGAAAACAATTTTTAAAAATTATTTATTTATATTTCAATTAATGTATAATTGTTTGGAAACTATAGGCGAAATCGAGACCAGAATTGGAGGAATTGGTGAATAAATACAAACCGGAGCTCATCTGGTCGGACGGGGACTGGACAGCACCGGCCACCTACTGGAACAGTACCGATATTATAGCCTGGCTTTATAACGACAGGTGCCATGAATTTTAATTATTTTAATTTTAGCATGTTTTCTTTTTTAATGATCAATAATTATGATTTTATATTTGTCTTACTTATAGTCCCGTTAAGGACACGATTGTAGTGAACGACCGATGGGGTGACGTATATAATGTTAAAATTAATAAAAATATACCTGATCCATTCAAGTTATTCAATACTTGTATTTTAAAAATTAGTTATTTTAGTGATATAATGATCAACTCTAAAATTAGTTATAATTAATTTAATCTTGGTCAATAGGAAAGGACATGATCTGCCATCACGGAGACTTCTATACCTGTTCCGATAGGTACGCCCCATCTGTACTACAGCCCCACAAATGGGAGAGTTGTATGAGTTTTGATAAGAAATCGTGGGGTTTCCGACGGGAGGCACCTCTGGCTGACTACATGACCACAGAGGAGGTGGTCCACAGTTTTGTGCAGACAATTAGGTATTTCAGTAAATAAAAGATGTTTTTCTAATCACTTACTGAATGACACAATAATTTAATAATCAGTTGCGGCGGAAACCTATTGCTAAACATAGGGCCCACACATGACGGACGGATACCCCTCTTATTTGAGGAACGGCTCCGACAGTTGGGCGCATGGCTTGGCATCAACGGTGAGGCCGTGTATGCGACCAAACCCTGGGTTAACCACAGGACTCATCAAAACGATTCCGTTTCCGGAGACGTTTGGTTGGCATGAAAAATGATTTTCAAATTTAAATAATTTTTTAAAACTCTTATTCAATGGGTTAGGTATACCTACAAAGACAAAAACGTATACCCCATTGCCCTATCGTGGCCTAAGAATAACCAATTGGAGCTTGGTGATATTGACTTTAAAACTGTGAACACCGTTGAACTGTTGGGAACCACCGGACAGTTAGCTGTAAAGGAGAAGGGAAAGGGAGTTGTGATAACATTCCCATCGCTCACACCTCCCATTAAACTGGATTACGCCTATGCCCTCAGAATTAAAACTAAATAATTATGTTTTGCTAAAATAATTCATATAAAACTTGTTCATAAAAATAAAGCAATTATAAAAATTACAATTTATAATAGTTTATGTTAGATAATTACCTAGTTTATAATCACAAATATTTTAGAATTAAAGCATGAGATAAAATATAAAACAATTTTTATTTATCACATACAGTATATTTAAAATTATTTAAAATACAATTAAATAGAGTTCACAAATAACTCGTAAACTGTTTTGGATTCATTGAAATAATGTTTATTTATTATACAATTTTTTACATACTTTTCTCTATAATTGCAATAATTAAATAGTTTTTACTAATTTTAAACATAACTCTCATAAACTTTTACTTTAAAGTTATATAAACAGTGTGTTTAATTAATTAGTTAATTATTTCTGGATATTTTCATATTTACCTATAAAAATCATAATTAGTTAATTATTTAATTTATATTGCTTCAAATAATCAAGACAAGTGCATAAACGGGAGTAAACAAGATTAGATTTATGTTGTTAACCGGCTACAATTTAACTTTTGATGTTTATTTATCAAGTACAGTGTGCCCTCAATTATAGTGATAATAAATGGTATTTAATATAATTGGTTACGTAACCACTTAAACACAGCTATCAATTAATTTATTAAGTACGGTACATTAATTTATACTGGATATATTACTGGAAAGTACATTTCAAAAGTATTCATAAAAGTATTAAGGTAAATCAATAACTAATAATAAGATAATAAAAATAACTTTTACTTAAAATACCAATACATTCATAAACTTATAGTCAGTTTAGTGTAGTATTGTGTTCACTACTAACCACACAATGAGATTACTATTAATCTTAACCGCAATTGCGGTGCAATTATGTGTTACATGGGGTGCTACCAAACCCCGGGTAGTTTGCTACTGGGCCAATTGGGGCAGTATGACACCCGAGCAAATAGACCCGACCCTATGTACGCACATTCACTATGCTTTCCATGTTATGGACGATAAACATAACACAATTGTGGACTCAAAAGGATCGCCACAACCGGATCTATACAACAGACTACTGGCCCTCAAACAAAAGAATCCGGAACTACAGGTCGTGGTGTCGGTGGGCGGTTGGGGTCAACCGGACATTAAGTTTTCACGTGTGGTTAACAGCCCGGAGCTGAGGAAAGGGTTTATCGCCAATACTATAGCCTATATCCAGAAGTATAAGTTCGATGGACTGGACATAGACTGGGAGTACCCGGTCTGCTGGACCGGTAACTGTACGGCTGGGCCTAAGTCTGATCGGGAAAATTATGGAGTGTTTGTCAAGGTGAGTTTAATTTTAAAAATAATATTTATAATTAAATTATTAATAGTAGTCTCATTAGTAGTGTTTGTATAGTATTTGCTAATAAATGTTTACGTATACGACCTTTCGATTTGCAAATACCTTACAGTGTTATAGCCTATAAATATAAATATAATATTCTTAATAAATAAATAGATAAATAAATAAAATGGTCATTACACTTATAACCGATAAATTAAATTAACGAATTTTGTAGTATTCAAATGTTATTTGTATTTAAGTTTACAGTTTTAAATATAGAATTGTAATTAATGTTAAAAATTCAATTTGTTATAAATTTTTAGGAAATAAGGGCTGCGTTTGAAAAACTTACTCCAAGGCTAACCATATCGGCGGCAGTGGTGGCCGGGGCTGGCATTGCCGACAAGGCCTACGATTATAAGGCTATTGGCGAGTATGTCATTTAAACTGTAATTAATTTATATTAAAAATATTAGGCTATTAATATTTAATTAATTAATTATATTTGGGATGTTTTATATTATACTATTTTTATTTAAATTTATAATATATTAAAACATATTTATTTATATATTTTACAGGCTTTACTAGTACTTAACTTAATTTCTAAGCAATTGCATTAATTTAACAAATTTTAACAAAATATTTTTTTATTTATATCACCTAGCATTCTCATA